GGAACAGAACATGTTATATATTCACCAAAAACAACATTGCCATGTTTCTAGGCGTAAAACGGATTAGAAAAAAAAAATCGTCCGATCCAAACGACCTGCGTCCTTGAGAATCTAGTCTTATCGCCTTTGCCTTTCGAGCGAAAAAAAGGTCGAGGCCAAAAGAAACCAAAATTTGGAAAGTGAATCACTTTGGTGGCGAAAAGTAATCGAAGGAAAACATTGTTTATGCTATGAGAAAGTGCAGATCTTGAACGTACTTTAGTGCATTTTGCCTATCACGGCGAACGCAATTTGATGCAAGCGAATTTCCCTACTAATTTCCCTAGTTGTGTGCTGTGGCAAAGGGCAAACACATTATGCAAATTAGCTTTAGTTGAAAATTTAAGTTTTCTCGGCGATATCTACATGAATTTGAACCAAAATGTTACCGGCAAGACTCAGAATACGACTGTGACAGCCACTGAAACGCAATTGAAGGCAAATGAACACATCAAGCAAAAAAGACTTTTTCAAGTCATGTCGTAACATGGAGGCACATACCATTTTGACTCTTGGGGGAATGCAAATCAGTCAATTTGTGGGTGTCACAATAAGCGAGGGAGTAAATCGTTTTTATGCTATGAAAAAATGCAGACCTTGAACGTACTTTTTTGGACTTTAGTACAAAGTCATTTTTGTTTGATTACCTAGCATATTTAGGTTCATTTGCTGCAAGTAACAGAGCACATATCTAAGCGACCGTTCCTCAGCAAATAATGAAGCAAAGGCATTTTTGATGTCGAAATCGCGAAACTCTACCTTTTTACGCAAACTGGGAAGTTTGAATTACTAAACGAAGTACAGGACGAGGAAGATAAAATATCCAAGAATCAACAAATACCAAAAATTATATCTCAAAAGTGAATATTCGTGGTGTATTTTAAGTCTTACCGGACCATAAGTGGAAATGTGTTAGTACTCTAAATATCCAAACATATTTTAGTATAAGGTAGTAATAAATCACA